TTCCTTTGATATCTCTAATTTTCTTGACGAGATCGCTTGTCTTTCCCATTCTATTGTTTTCTTTTATTTCTTTGCATTGCTCATTTAAGAAAACCTTCTTGTCTCTGCTGTTCTCTGGAATTCTGCATTCAGTTGGGTCTATCTTTCCCTTTCTCCCTTTCCCTTTCCTTTCCTCAGTAAAGCCTCATCAGACAGCCATTTTGCTTTCTTGCTCTTCTTTTTCTTTGGAATCGTTTTTGTTGCCGCCTTTTCTACAATGTTGCAAAACTCTGTCCACAGTTCTTCAGGCACTCCACCAGATCTAATCCTTTACATATATTTTTCACTATATCTGTCTATCTATCTACACACATATATGTATATCTATCGATACGCCTCAAAGCACTATATGAACGTTAACTATTATCATCATCATTAATAATAATAATAAGTTGTCCTTTATCATCTGAGGCATGCCTTTGCTGGTCATCTCTTTAGACCTGTCTACCTGGTAACTAGGAGAGTTAGGGGGAGTAGTGGTTAGAGCATTGGGCCTGAAGTCAGGAAGACCTGAGTTCAAATCCTACTTCAGAAATGTCTTAGCTGTGTGACACCAAACAAGTCATTTAACCATACACAAACTACAGGGAGAGAGCCTGGGTCTGTGATTTCACTGACATAGAGAATTCCCAGATGAGGAATATCCCTCCACCAATGCAGGTTGGCACACTCTCTACAACTTAAAGTTGTAGCAATTTCCAGGTCACTCAGCCAGTATATATCAGAGGTATTACCTGTACTCATGTCTTCTTGGCTCCAAGCCTAGCTTTCTATCTGTTAGGCAGCTAGATGCAGAGGATAGAAGTCTGGGCCTGGAGTCAGGAAGACCCAAGCTCAAATCCAGTCTCAGAAACTTCCTAGCTATGTGTCCCTGGGCAAGTCACTTAACCTCTATCTGCCTCAGTTTCCTGAACTGCAAAATGGGGATACTAATAGCATCTACTATTGTGAGGATAATATTTGTAAAGCACTTAGCCCAGTGCCCGGCACATATAAATACCGGCTATTATTATTAGGTCAAGTATACACAAAACACAGACAGGATAATATTTTGGAGGAGACACTCACAGTTGGGGGAGGGGGCCAAGAAAAGTTTCTGGTAGATGGTAGCTGTTGAAGAAGATGGGGAACAGCCCATGCTGAGGGACAGAGAAGGAAAATGGAATGTCATGAGGGAGAAATAACAATTAAGAAGAGTGGTTTTAACCTTGGTTCAGGGAGACATTAAATATGGTGAGTAAAGGTGCACTTTACATGGGAGGTGGTCACCAAACATATGTTCATTAGTGCACATAGCCTTCTTGCCTAATGAGAAAATGGATCAAGGGCACAGACTCCGAGAATGGAATGCAGATTTCATTTACATTTCTGGGAAAAAGTGACATTGTCTTTGATAGCTAGTGAAGGAGAAGAGACTATTCTATAGGCTAAGCTTCCAGGATTAATTGAATTAGGGCATGTAGTAAAGCTGGCTGTGCCACTTCTTCAGGAGAGAAGGGCCATGAGTCACTCAGATAGAAAGCCAAAGCCGGGGGTAGACTGCCCTTTCCAAAGGGCGAGAGGGTGGTGGTGGAAATTGTTCTGTTAAATACTCACTTGTTCTACAAACCCTTTTCTTTTCTCCATGGTCCTAAGTAAAGGTATGAATTGTAGCAAGTGGGGCTAAGTTACTTAAGGATAATAATAATAATAATAATAATAATAATAATAATAATAATAATAATAATGAGAGGCATTTGCACAGCCCTTGAAGGTTTGCAAAGTGTTTTATATATATTATTTCATTTGATCCTTACAACAACTGTGGGAGATAGGTGCTATTATGACTCCCATTTCACAGGTGAGGAAAATGAGGCTGAGAAAAGTTAGATGATTTGAACCAAGGTCCCACAGCCAGTAAATGTCTGAGATACAATTTGAACCCAGGTCTTCCTGACTCTAAATGCTGTGCTCCGAAACCTACCACTTATCCAATTTTCAGATTGGCAGACTCAAGATACAGAGTTGGACAGAATCACAGAATGTCACAGTTCTCCTCTAGAACAAGACAAGAGAACAAGAATCCCTTTGACTTTCTGCCTGAGAATCGGTCACCCTGCCTTAGACTGAACACTTCCAGTGAGGAAGAAAGTCACTATCTCTGGAGGCAACCCATGCCCCTTTGGGACAACTCTAATTTCTAGGAGCATTTCCTGACTCTAAGGTTCCGTCTGCACTCCCGGAAAGTTCTAGCCATCACCCCTCAAAATCGAATCCCTCTTCCACTCAAGGGGTCTTTCTCTTTTGCATTATTTGGCATCTGTCCAACCTTTGATCTCATCACCATGGATTAGGAAAAAAAAAACCATTCCTGCCCAAGGGAGAAGAAAATTATTCTCCCTTGGGCAAGATGGGAGATCCATTCTGATCACTAAGGCTATATATATATATATATATATATATATATATATATATATATGAATCCAGTTACATAGGTTGTCAGATTAATGAAAAAAATCAGTCTTCTTGATTTTGTCAAGATAGACAAAGGTCTACAAGCTCCTCTTAAAATACACACTACATACTGACCTAAAGAGAAATGGGTCCTGGTTGTAAAGGAGAGAAGGTTGGCAACAAGGTAGCCCAGTGGATAGAATATGAGACTTGGAGTCAAGAAGACCTGAGTCTGAATTATTCTTCCTATACTTACTATTCTTTACCATCTGTAAAATGGGGATAATATTAACACCTACCTTACGGGTTATTGTGATGATCAAATGAATGTAAAGTGATTTGCAAACTTTAAAGCACTATATAAATATTATCTTTTATGATCATCAATAATCATGTTGTTACATTCAATCATTTCAATTGTGTCTGACTCTTCATTACCTCATTTAGGGTTTTCTTGGCAAAGATACTGGGGTGTTTTGCTATTTCTTTCTCCAGCTCATTTTTACAAATGAGGAAACTGAGGCAAACTGGGTGAAGTGACTTGCTCAGGATCACATAGCTAGTAAGTGTCTTGAGGCCAGATTTGAACTCAGGAAAATGAGTCTTCCTGACTCTAGCCCAACACTCTATCCACTGTGCCACTCAGCTGCCCCTCATTAATAATGTCATCATCATTAATAATAATAATAGCCAAAGTTTTCTTTGTCTTCTGGGGCATGCCTTTGCTGGGTATCTCTGGCAACTAGGAGACAAGTGGAGCCATGGTTAGAGCACTGGACCTGGATTCATGCAGTTGTTCAGTCATTTTCAGTCATAGCTAACTCTTTGTGACCCCATTTGGAGTTTTCTTTGCAAAATACTGGAGTGGTTTGCCATTTCCTTCTCCAGGAATCATGAAGGCTTGGGTTCAAATCCTGCCGCAGAAACTTACTAGCTGTGTGACCTTGAGCAAGTCACTTGACCTCTTTCTTCCTCAGTATCCTCATTTGTAAAATGGGGATAAAATTGTTGTGAGGATAAAATGAGATAATAATTGTTGAATGCTTTGCAAATTTTAAAGCTCTATATAAATGCTATTATTAGGAGAAGTGAAGAAGACGGAACCTTCCTCAAAGGTCCATCAATGATCCATATTCTTGGAGTCCATCCCTACTCTTGGAAAAGGAAGTCAAAATGTTTGATGGAGATGGGATGCATTATCTTTGCATGTGAAGAACAGCACATTCTCTGTTCTCTCTCTCTTTGAACAATGGGGAGTCCTTATATGAGACCTGTGTTGAATGAATGAATGAATGAGAAGGAATGAAAAAGGATTTGTTTATTTATTTACTCTGTGCCTGGCAGTGGAGATAGAAAGGCAAGAAGTCTCTGCCCTCAAGGGTCTCACCTTCTATTGATGATTTATGCAGAATTCTTTATAAACTTTAAAGCAATTATCAGTCAGTATTATTATTAATATGAAGCATCTAGGCGGCACAATGGATCAAAAGCTGGGCTTGGAGTCAGGAAGACCTGAATTCAAGTCACTAGCTCAGTAACCCTGGGCAGATCAAAGGCTCTCAGCCTCAGTTTCCTTACCTATAAAGTGGGAATAATAATAGCATCAAGTTCACAGCATTGTTGTGATTATCAAATAAGATAACACGTATAAGCATGTTTCCCAAACTTTAAACCTCATATTTAGATAGCCATATAATATTATTATTAGCTAAATAATTGCTAAGCTATTAATAATATCATATAATAATTAAATATATTGTTATAACATAGAATATATCATATCATATATTATATTTATAATGATGTCAAATGCCACCTTTATAAGATGCTTTTTCTGTTCCCCCTCACTGCTGGTATCTTCCCTTTGAGATTATCTCCAATTTATCCTGTATATATCTGTACACGACAGCTAGATGGCACAATGGATAGAGGGCTCATCTTCCTGAGTTCAAATCTGGCCTCAGATAATTACTAACTACGTGGCCCTGGGCAAGTTACTTAACCCTCTCTGCCTCAGTTTCTTCATCTGTAAAATGAACTGGAGAAGGAAATGGCAAACCACTCCAATATCTTTGCCAAAGAAAACCCCAAATGGGGGTCACAAACAGTTGGACACAGCTGAAAAAAGACAACAACAAAAAAATCTGAATGTGGTTGTTTGCATGCTGTCTTCCCCATTAAAACGGAAGCTCCTTGAGCTTCTTCTTATCTCAAGCTCTTAACATGGTGTTTGGCACACAGTAGGTACTTAATATATTCATGTCGTTGCTGCTGATAATGATCAGTCATCTTCCTATTATTTCCTCTTCCTAATGAGCTACAAAGCAAAACCTAGATCTCTGCACAAGAGAAATAAGTGAACAGAAGAAAAGTAAATTCCCTGTTGCTAGGAGAGTTTGCAGCCCAGTCGAATCTACTGGTCGCAAGTTTTGATCCTCATATTTTAATTCTTCTGACACCAAAGTCCCGAATACATTTGACAAGTCATCCATCCACCTTGTAAAAGGAAAAACCCCAGCCCCCCCTCGTGTCATGCTGTGCGTCAACCTCCCTAGGATTCATTCATCAGCTGTCTCACTGCCATAGTCATTTCGACCAACGTCTGACCCTTCCTTTAGGTCATGATTTAGCTCAGGAAGTTACTTTTTTCATGCCAGATTTATAAACTTTCCTGTTATTCTCCTTTGATAAAATATCCACTCTGTCCACTAGGCAATACAACGGTAAATTTATTATCAGTCCGTCCTGCTGTTTTGAAGAATGACATCAGTGCAAAATGGCTATTTGGGCATCATGGCCAATAAAGTCATTTTGGGAGTGGGAGGGAAGGATGATATTTACGAGGTTATGGGGGGATATATAAAGTGTGGTATCAGGAGGGAAAGAATCTTCAAGTTCAGATTCCTCTCCTACAAACGTCAAGGAGGACGAGTCCTCTTTTCGAAGTCACCATGTACAAGCTAATATTCTGCTGCTTATTTTTTGCCGGCTTCTTAAACCCCTTCTTGTCTCTTCCCATTGTCGACTCCAGTGAAGTGGCATATCGGCTCTCAGGTAAGAGGCATTTTCTTTTCCTTAGCTGTGGCATTTCTGAGGTCATAAGAGCAGCAGAGAGAAAAATGGAGAAATTCTTGTTATTAAGGAGTCTTCTTCCAGCTAAGTTTCAGCTACCAAAAAAAATGTTCTTCTAGGTTCTTTAAATGACTACTTTAAAATCAATAATGGAGTGTAATTTCTTCACAGATTCAAGGAACAGAAGGGTATCATGAGTATTTCATTTCATCTTCATGTTAAGCTTTTTTTTTTTTGCTTTGGCAAAGTAGAAATAGAAATGAATGAATGAATCAATCAATCAATCACTCATTTATTCCTAGGTACCAGGCACTGTGCTCAGCTCTGAAGATGAAAAGAATGAAATGATCCCTATACTCAAGGTGTTTACGTTCTCCATTCCAACCCTAAAGACCTTAGAGGTCATCTGGTACAACCCCTTCATATAACAGATGAGGCAACTGAGGTCCAAAGAGATTGGAAGGGAAGGCAACAAAGGTGTATATAAATACACAAAGAATAAAAATAAAGAAAACAAACACAAAATAATTTACCTTCTATCGATGATTCACGTTTATAAACGTTAAAGCAATAGATCAGTCAATTTTTGTTATTAATATATGGCAGTTAGGTGGCACAGTGGATAGAGAGCTGGGCTTGGGCTGGAGGGCTCTAGCAGACAAAGTGTTACCTGAACTGCAGCTTGAAGAACAGAGGGGTTCTATGAAGTGGGGATCAGGATTGCATTAATAATAGCTAACATTTATGAGCACCTACTATGTGCCAGGTACTTTACCACTATCCCATTTGACCTGAGAGGTAGGTGTTATTATATTATTATTATCCCCATTTTACAAGTGAGGAAACTGAGGCAAAGAAAAGTTAAGCCCGGGTCACAAAGCTAGTAAGTGTCTGAGCCTGTGGTCCCCTTCACAGAATGTTTTCAAATGCATAAAATAAAATACATACGATTACAAAGGAAGCTAATTATATTGAAATACTACATATGAAAAAAAAAAAGATCACAGACTCCAGGTTAAGAACCTTGCTTTGTTCCAAGTTTTTTATTCTGCATATGAGAAAGGAAATCACTTACTGTCACACAGTAATATAGGTTGGACTAGTAACCAAGCTGGGATTTGAACCCATGGTCTCTGACTTCAAATCCAACCTTTCTCAGTCTCAGTTTCTTTATCTGTAAAATGGGGATAATAATAGCTCCTATCTCAGAGGGATATTGTTAGGATCAAATGAAATAATATTTGTAAAAGCATTCATAAAGTTCTTTATAAATTCTGTTATTCTTAGTAGGAGAATATCATTATTATCACTCTAATCGAAAATAATTACTGCAGTAGCTACCAGAATGCATTATTGGTTGACTCATCTGGAGGTTTACCATAATATGTTCGTTTTAATTTGAGCTAAAAATTAACCAGCTGAAAATGAAAATGTATCTCTGACTACGTTCACTTTTACCTGTGGATTCACATTTCTTATGGAATTTAATTCTGACACAGAATCATAGAATGGCAGATATATGACAGACTCAAAGATCTAACCCGCTCTTCTTACAAAAGAGGAAACGGAGGCTCAGAAAAAAATGAAGAATCAGTGTCAATTTAAAATCGAGAGAAAGCTGGGTCTTTTCACAAACCACAGATTTTGCAATTCCTTGTTTCCCTCTCAACCTCTGGTTCCCAACAGTCAATATGTAGCTGCCACGTTACTCACACAGCATCTATCAGTTTCCATAGGCATTTATCTTATGCCTGGCAGTAATTTTAGTGGCTTGAAACAAGCATTAAGCTTATTAAATCTCCACTGTTAAAAGAGGAACAAAGACCGTAAGAGTAGATCAAAAGAGAGCCTCTGACTAAAACTTCCATTTCAAATCAAAGACATGCCTTTTTACAATGATGTAGGCAGCCCCAGACTCTCAGATAATGTGTGACAAATGGACAAATTTTAACTAGGTAGAAGCTCATCTTAGGGGTGGGTTAAAAAAAAATAACACACAAACATTTTCAAGTGTGCTCCTTCCAAGAGTAGTCATTTATATTACGGCTGATGAAATTTTTGCAAATCGAGATAGTTAACCAGCGAATAAGCATTTATTAAGCACCAGTGCCAGGCGCTGATAGGTGCTGGAGATATAAATACAATAAAGAGCTTACATTCCAATTGGAGAAGGCATAAGGGCATATGTAAATATGTGAAAAGTAAATATAAAGAGAACAAACACAAAATAGTTGAATACTGATGAAGTGGGGAAAGACTTTATGTCCAAGGTGATGCCTCAACTGAACCCTGAAGCATTTTTATGGAATATTTATAAAGCAAGTATCTGAGCCTATGGACCCCTTCACAGAATGTTTATAAACGAATAACATAAAATACATAGGATTCCAAGGAAACTGCAGCTGTCAAAATATTAAAAAAAAAAAGTTCACAGACTCCAGGTTAAGAACCCTTGGTTTGGTCCAAATATTTTATTTTACATATGAGAAGGCAGCCCCAGACTCTTAGATGACATGTATCTCATATCAGTAATGTGAATACATACTAATAATACCTAATTTTTAGTGGACTATCCAGGGGTGGGGAACCTGCTATCTCTAGGCCACATGTGGCCCTCTAGGTCCTCAAGTGCAGCCCTTTTCCAGGCTGCAGGTTCCCCACCCCCGGTACGCTGAAAAAAACAAGCTAACATTTACATAGCACCTACTGCATGCCAGGTGCTTCACAAATATTATCCCATTTGACTCTCACAACAATCCTGCCAGGCATAGGTGCTGTTAGTCTATCTATTTTGTAGGGGAGAAAACTGAGGCACAGAAAAGTTAAGTGACTTGCATAGGGTCACACAGCTAGTAAGTATGTGAGCCTGTGGATCCCTTCAGAAAAATGTTTTTAAAGGCATAAAATGAAATACATAGGATTACAAAGGAAACATATTGAAATAGTTATAAAATATTATATAAAAATATCTGTATATGTAAAATACACAAATGCATAAAATGAAAACACAGATTACAAAGGAAACATTGAAACAGTTATAAAATACTATATATACTACTATATTATATATAAGTATCTGTATATATAAAATATATATAAATGCATAAAATGAAAACAGATTACAAAGGAAACATTGAAATAGTTACAAAATATTATATATATAGAAATATCATCAATAGTAAACCACTGATTAGCTTCCAAAGCTTTCCACATATTTATTACCCCCACGCCCTCTGTAGAAAACACACACACACACACACACACACACACACACACACACACACACACGGCAAACACCTAATTTGAAAACTCCATGTTTAATGACAATTTAGAAAGACAGAGTCAGCTGATACCCATCCCTCCCTTTTTACCTTCTCTCTCTAGCAGATGACGAGGATGCAAAGCTAACCTTGGAAGACCTGGACAGAGCTTCCCTCTTGCAAATGCTGCCAGAGATTTTCGGTGCAGAAAGAGATAAAGTGTCCAGGAAAGCTGGTAAAAACAAAACAAAACAAAACAAAAAAAAACAAAACACAAGTACACAGACTTTGTACTGACTAGCAGATTAATGTTGTCAGTAGTTAATATGGTCCCTTGAATTTACTGGTTAGTTCCATGTACTTGATGGGATGAGGTAATTTTTGAAAGAAAGCTCAGGGAGCCAATGTGCATTCATGAAAGCTACCCTGCCTGACCTGATGGCTCTCAATACCATATTCAGCTCTGTCCCTGACCCTGACCCCTAGATTCTGCTCCCATTCATCTGTAAACATCACTTTCGTCTTCCTACCTTACCTCTTCCTTCTAAAATGGTTTTCTTTGTGAAAAATAAGGGAATTTGATGGTTATGATTTAAAAACAACTCGATGGCCAAATAGAACTTGTGCTTTCTTATAAGAAAGACATGATATAAAGGAAATCATAGGTGTCACGTGAAACATTTTAATTATGTTATTAGTTGGGGAGGCAGCTAGGTGGTGAAATGGATAAAGCTTTGGGCTTGAAATCAGGAAGACGCATCTTCGTGAATTCAAATCCGGCCTCAGACACTTACTAGCCTTGTTGCTCTGGGCAAGTCACTTCACCCTGTTTGCCTCAGTTTCCTCATCCAATATCTTTGCCAAGAAAATCCGAAATGGATTCACAAAGAGTCGGACATGACTGAACAATGGTTGGGGAAAATATAATATTATTTAAAAATCTGGAAAAATTCAATTTCAAAGGAATATAGGTAGACTGTCAGAGCTCTCAGCTGGGAGGTCATGTATCATATGACAGATGGGACAACTGAGGCCCAGAGACAAGAAATGAGTTGGCCAAGACCTTTAGACTAGACCTCCAAAAGGGTCCAGTTTCCCTGAATTTTACTTCAATTGTTTCTTTCCTTTCCAAAATTAAATGTTTTTTTTTTCTTTTACATTTCTTTCTTTCTTCTCTCCTTCCCACATAGACTCTCCCTTTGGAGTTCTGATGCCACATATAAACATGGCCTACATATTAATTAGTAATAGGGAAAACAAAACTTATCTTGAGTTTCTCCCTCTAAACACTGGCTCAAGATGAATAAATATTCAGAATTTTTAGGAGGGGCGGAATCTTTGAAATTTGGGGGGCATTTTAATAAAATAAATATTTTATGGGAAAATGAATAAAATTAAATCTCTTTTAACGCAAAGATCTTTGTGGCCACTGCTTACTAAGGAAGATAATATTAATAATAATTAAAAATAGCTAGCATTTATTTAGAGATTTAAAGTTTGTGAAATAATTCACGCATATTTCTTCTTATCCTCACAACAACTCTGGGAGATGGGTGGATGATGATGATGATGCCCATTTTTTTAGATGAGGAAACTGAGGCAGACAGTGGCAGATTTTGATGCCAGGTTTGTTTGGTTTTTTTTTTTTTAAGTGAGGCAGTTGGGGTTAAGTGACTTGCCCAGGGTCACACAGCTAGTGAGTGTCAATATCTTAACTCTTAAAAGAGCTCGGTAGACAAGAGGCTTAAGATATCCACTGTCATTTGAGGACTCATCTCCTAAATATATTGTTTTTCAGACCTCAGTGCTGACATTTTTGATCCGCAAGAAAATGTGAGAAAGGTAAGTGGCTCTGTTTGAGAAATTCTCAGTCAACATTTAGTAAGCACCTACTATGTGCCAGGCACTGTGCTAAGTGTTGAGGAGTACAAAGACAAAACACAGTCCCTGCCCTAAAGGAGCTCGCAAGATAACATGTAAATAATTAGGCACATACAAAATATGTCATTGTTCAGATGTGTCTGACTCTTCACAGCCCCATTTAGGGTTTTCTTGGCAAAGATCCTGGAGTGGTTTGCCATTTCCCTCTCCAGCTTATTTTACAGATGAGGAAACTGAGGCAAACAGGGTGAAGTGACTTGCTTATGGTCACTCAGCAAGTAAGTGTCTGAGGTCAGATTTAAAGTCATGAAGATGGGTCTTCCTGACTCCAGGCCAGGCACTCTGTCGTCTGCATTACTTAGCTGCCCCCAAACTGAGCAGTAGCAGCTAACAAGTAGGATGTAGGAGCTATCATGTGAGAGGATTGTGAACCAAAGGTGAAGTAGAGGCGTTGGGCCTTTGAATTCTGAGGAATGTGATTTATCAAAGAGGCAAAACTCTTAGAAAATCTTCTAAAACCAGTGACTCAGTGGGAAGTTAAATATGGCCACTGGAGATATGAACACAGCACTTATGTTGTCTTCAATGAAAGAAAGAACAGAAAGAGAAAAAGTCAAGAGAACAGTCCCTGAAATAAACCAAGGGATGGAGTAACTTCTGAGTAAGATTAGGCTTGAAATTAATAGAAATTAATGTCTGTTTAGAAAAAAAATTAGGGATGGGATTTAATTGAGATCTGTGGATTCATGAAGAGCATAGAATGGATGTTGGAAGGGGGGGCTACCCTTTGACATAGGTAAATTTAAGACAAGTAAAAGGAAGAATTACTTTACATAGTGGGTGGAAACTTAGGGAACTTGTTACCCTAGGGGCAGCTGGTGTGGTGATATGAGTTTAAATCTGGCCTCAGACACTCAGTAGCTGTGTGCTCCTGGTCTCTCTGCCTCAGTTTCCTCATCTGTAAAAGAGGGATAATAATAGCCCGTATCTTCCAGGGCTGTTGTAAGGACCAAATGAGATGATAATTATAAAGTGCTTAGCACAGTGCCTGGCACATAGTAAGTGATATATAAAGTTAGCTATTATAGCTGTTATTACCTTGACAGGTCATACGAGCTAAAATAGAAATTGGTCTAAGAAGAGTTTAATCATAGAGAGATCCATGTCTTAACAGCCACGTTAAAGAGATTGGATGCATCTCTAAACTTCTGAGGTTGGCATCAGATGGGCAACTGCACGATTCTCCCCCTCTTCCCCCATTCTTTGGCGACATTAGTTTGATTCAATTAAACTGATGTAATTCTTTCCAAATAGAACTGTAGGACTAAAGATAGCAGCAAGATAAGGTAGATTGTCCCTTCAAGCACAACACATTTGGAATAGACAAAGGGATTGTTTCAAATATTTTTAAAAATAAATGTATCATATACCATTCCAGGATATTCTGCTCTCCATGTCATTAGTAGTGGTATCATTGGGGCGTAATTCCAAATTGTTTTCCAGCATGACTGGATCAATTCATAGCCCTACCAACAATGAGTATCAGTCAATCACTAAACATTTAAGAACTAGGGATGCAAAGAAAGGCAGAAGACAGTCCTTGAAGAGCTCACAGTTTAAAGGACAGCTAGGTGCAGACAAGCACTCCAAACGTAACACTTTGTATAGGATAAATAGGAAATAATCAATGGAGGGAAGGCATTCACATTAATGGGGATCCATAAAGACTTTCTATAGAAGGTGGCATTTTAGCTGGGACTTCAAGGAAAGCAGGGATTGAAATTTGCCCATTTCCTCGCAGCCCCTCTGACATTTGTCATTTGCCTTTTTGGGCCATCTTTGTTAATCTGATGGGTGTGAGGTAGAATCTGGGAGCTGCTTACATTTTACATTTTTCTAAGTACTAGTGATTTGAAACACTTTTTTTCCATATCGCTATTGGTAGCTTGTATTTCTTCTTTTGAAAATTACCTATTCATATTTTTTGACCATTTATCAATAGACACATGGCTCTTAATCTTACTTCTAAAGAAACTGCAAGTTGAACAAATAATTGAAAATTTTGGTTGGTTTTTTCTTTGGTCTATGATTTCTTTTACAACATGACTAATATGGAAATAAGTTTTGCCTCACTACATAGGTATAACCTTTATAAAATTGCTTGCCTTCTCAGTGAAGGGGGTGCGGAGGGAGGGAGAGAATTTGGATCTCAACATTTTAAAAACAAATGTTGGAAATTGCTTTTATGTGTAATTGGGGAAAAATAAAATACTAAATAATTTTTTTAAAAAAAGAAAATTTAGGTTTTAAAGGAGTTCTATGAGAAAAAGTAGACTTACCTCAACACTAATAATAGCTAGCATTCATATAGTGTTTTGAGGTTTGCAAAGTGCTTTACATGGTTTTTACTTATTTGATCCTCAGAACAAGCATGTGAGTGTAGGTACTGTTATTATCCTCATTTTACAGACAAGGAAACTGAGGCACAGAGAGGTTAAGTGACTTGTCCTGGGTTGTGCAGGTAGTGTCCGGGGCAGGAATCAAAGTCAGGTCTTCCTGACTCCAAATTTCAAGCTCTATGCACTGTACCACCTAGTTGCTTACTAATGTACCTTGGTTTTTTTTTTTTTAATTTCAGGTTTTTTATGGAAAAGATCCCAAAATCTCACTCCTGAGTCATCTGGCTAGAACCAGGAAACAATTTAAGAAACGTGGGACCCCTTCCGAATGTTTCTGGAAGTACTGTGTGTAAAATGAGATTTAGTCTTCTTCCCCTATTGCTTTATTATATTTATAACCCTCTTGGAAAATGTAAATAAAGCTGTTTGATTTAAAAGTAATGGCTTAAAAAAAACCCTAAGCAAACAACATTCATTATTATTTAAAAATAAATCCTCTATGTTTTGCAAGTAATTATGTGAACATCTTTTCTTTAAATACAGTCTACATGTAATTTCCTTCATAAAATACTTGTGTCTCCTCCTGCTATAACGTCCTGCTATAATGATGTCTCCTGGAGTTGTAAAGGTGACCTTGGGTCCTCAAGGTCTAAGCCAGCAAATTTCAAGCTCTAATAGGTTTGATCATTGGGCTAGAAAGGCTTAGAGTTTGGGTTTTAGCAATATACTATATGTGTCTTATCCAAGGATCAGAGACTCATTTCCAGAAAACTGGCTACAGAAATTTGTTAAGATGGTGTATTAAGGTGTGGAAGGGCTGCAACCCAAATGTGAAAAAATACTCACATTGAGCAGAACGCCATCTTTTTATTTTTTTTAAGGGTGATGGAAATAAGTATTTCCTATAATGCTTTCTCTCCTCCCTTCCCTTCCTCCACCATTTTTCAGTTTCTCAAAAATGCATTTCATTTAAAGGTTGACAGGAACAACTTTGAACACAAAATAAAAACCAAGAAAATGGGGGAGGGGGAAACCTTAATAAATGGCAAGTGTATCAATTTGGCTCATTTGAGCACTTCCTGCGGATGAGTTAAATTGAGTTGATTATAAAAATGAACATGTGCTTCTATTAGACAGAATCAGGAATCTACCCAGGATCCCACAGTCCTTAGATTCTAGCCATACAGTAGCAGCGCTGTCAGAACATTCATCAGGTGGCAGGGTGCTAAGTACTGTTTATGTTCACTGTCCTGGCCTAGGTGACCAGAGAGAAGAACATGGGTAGAGGCTTTTCATCTAATAAGCAGTATGAGTTGACCCTAAATACTTCAATCAGGTCATAGCACCAGAGAACAGTCTAATTGGGACTGTCAGGCACTGTAGTGTGACCAATCACAACAGGGAAATCCAGTCTAATGCTTCGATTGGGGCAGCTAGGTGACACAGTGGATAGAGCACTGGGCTTGTAATCAGGGAGACTCATCTTCATGAGTTCAAATCTGGCCTCAGACACTCAACAGCTATATGACCTTGAGCAAGTCACTTACCCCGGTTTGCCTCAGTTTCCTCATCTGCAAAAAATGAGCTGATGAAGGAAACGGTGCACCATTCCAGTATCTCTGCCCAGGAAACCCCAAAATGGGGTCATGGAGAATTGGACATGACTGTAACTTAACAATAACAAATGGAGAGACAAAGTGATACAGGTTAATAAGACCTTAAAAGAAATCAATCATATTTCTCACCTCTTTGGGGATTTTTTTTTTGGTATAAGTTTTTTTAGGTGGTTGTTTTGCTACGCACTCATGTTCAGTGTAAGGAGACCTGGAACAAGTAGGTAATCCTTTTCTCTGGCTAAGGTCACTAGGAAATCAGACGTTTAATCTAAAAAAATATGGCAGAGTAGGTACCGAAACCAGACTAATATTCAAGGGTCTATAGTTACATTTTGTGTACATACATATGTATATATACACACATACATATATATATATATATAACATATATATATATATATATGTACACACATATATACACATACACATGTAAAGTTTTATCAAGGATCATAAGAAATTGAAGAGTCAAGATTTTTGCACTGTATCAAATTTGGGTTCTGTCAACCCCCCCTTCAAACTGATAATATTTAAGTTTTAAGTCAATAAAGAACCAATTAATGTGAATATTATCCTTTTTTTGTTTGTTTTCTGAGAGGCAATTGGGGTTAAGTGACTTGTCCAGAGTCACACAGCTAGTTAAGTGTTATGTGTTTGAGGCCGTGTCCTTCTCCAAAAGGCACACAATTCACAGCCATGAAGCATTACTAAGCAAACTAAATTGACCAGTCCTGGTTAGGTCTTTTGAACTGCTATAGGCAATTACAAGAAAAAAGCCAGTAAGAAACAAAAAACGTTACCCAGAAAATTTTAGTTAAATGGTTTCCTTTTGGTTAAGTGATCGGGTCAGACTCCATCTAGTCCCTTTTAACCTTTAAAATCCCATAATACTACAAGAGCTAAAACACAATGATTGTAATGAAGTAGACACCTTAGCTAAGCAGGCCTCTCAACACATGGAAAAATCACAAAGAAAATCTGCATTTGTTTTCCACTGGAGTTTTTGCGGGGATAAAAATCGACTAAGGTCCACTTTTGACACAGGGCAGAAGACCTGGGCAGTCTAGGGGCTGGTGAGCTAGAGTGTCCTGTGGGAAGGGAGATTATAGAAATGGAGCTCAGTTTGCCCCTTAGCTCATAGGTCCCAAGCACCTGAATGCTCTCATTTAGCAGCAATCGATAAAAACAAAAACTTGGCTATCTCAGGCCGGGATCTCCCTGGTTATAGCATTTTGGGACAAAAAGCCTCTTTAATCTATGGAGGTGTTGTCCCTGATTGCTGGTTTACAGAGCAAGACTGGGGTCTGGCCTTGCCTTATGGAACGCTGGCCACAAAGGGAGGCAGAGACAGAGTGAGTTGCTGAAGACAGCTATATCTAGTACAACTCCATGGATAAACGGGTTTTTGAAATGGGCAAGAGCCTAGGACATGAATTTATATTGATGTTGGCAATGATCACCATAAATCTGTTACGGGACAGATGGAGGGGTGATAAATCTTACCATTCTTCTCACATCTGTAACAATTCAGGAACAAGTCTACGGCAATCACAAATGATCCAGACTCAAGGGCCTGGATGGACACTAGGGAAAAGGCTGCCCCTAAGACCCCGTAATTACAGGTAACTACATTTCCTAGGGCTTACACTAACGTCGAATGCCGCGAAGCACTCCCTTCTGACAAGCCCAATGTTTTCTTTATACAAATCAGGCGACTGGACCCAGAGTTCTGTGTCTCATGGTTTGGTACCATGGAACTAGATTTCCCTCTAAGACACCAAGCAGCAGGGCCCTATTCCAGACTCCTGCCTTGGAGTCATAAGCTCAGGTATCGTTTTTTCCCCAAAGACCTTGAGCTTGGCGAGAAAGGTCAAAGAGCCACACTCAGCAAAGCACTTCCCAGTTCGGAATTTCACATTTTTAGTAGTTCAGATTTGGCCACTGTCAGATTACCGACCAGATTATTTGAGGTTCCAATCAATATACCAGGTAAATTTCATAAAACTGATAGGCCACTACTATGTAGATACCAAAAAGACACGAAGTGCCCTTCACAGATACCTTAAGGCCTAAGCTATATTTCAAGAAAGGCTTAAATACTTGTACAATTTTCAATTTACAAATAATCACTCCATAGGAATATCATTGTTTAAAGACGTACTCAGTGCCTGTGAAAGAAATCTTCTGAAGTCTTAAAATAGGTTCACTGCTGGTTTTATTTATTTTTACTTAAAAAAAAAATCCAAGACACCTAGTCAGGATATTCACATACAGTAAAAACAAGTAAATTCACACATGGCTAATTACAAATTTGGTTGAAAAATTTAAAAAAAATTCAGTTTCTGATTTGCCTTGCGATTTATAGTCAAGCCTCATCTTAACCCTAGGATCATCTCATGTATTAGCATTTTTTTTTCTTTTTTTTAAAGAAATTCTCATAACACATCTGAGAAAAACTGCTGGAGCAGCAACATTTGTGTAAACACTGAAAGAGACAAGATGTACTTTTTTTCTGACATGAATTTCTGTAGGCGAAAATGTAACAATTTCATAAAAACATCAACCACAAGCTTGAGATTGGGTAGAGCCCCCTTGGGGGGCGGGCAGTAACCACATCACTACTGAACCGACACACCGCTCACTTCCAGCAGTAGTAATTTCACAGAGATAAAAAAAAAAACCTAAAAATACTATCTAGCCTAACACTGAAGTTATCAAAATGTGATCATTTATAAATGGTTGTAAATATATAATATATATATATATATATGCTCTTACGTCTGATGCTATACTTCTTTCAGAATCTCTCTCACACTCACACACACACATACATACACACACATCCAGAGCTCTCAGTGAACTGTGTCCTAAGGCAAATAAACTTGCAAACTTAGACAAAAGTGATCCAGGAAATAATAAAAAGGGAGAGATTCCTATTATTCTTAGAATAAGATATTTGGCTTTTTTTTTTAAACAAACTAAATTCTGTGGAATGAGTATTTGACAGTGCTCAAATGTGTGTTCATCGCCACAAGGAAATCCTACAGCGGGGGACACTTCCCAGACTAATTTTTTTTAGTGAGAAAAATTTACATAATTTTACAAATGGAATGTATGTTTCAGAAACCATCCATCCAGTTCTAGGGCACTGTGGAATACAAATATTCTCTAATAACAGCTTTAAATGGCATGTGTTTAATTTACTCACAGAGAAAAAAGAGCTAATTTTACCTAGCAATCGCTCACTAAAAATGAAAAACTTCCAAGTAGGATTTCATTCCCTACTAAAGGACGGGGCTTGGTGGTCAGTCCCAGGTGCCACGCTATTTGTGCTGTTGGAAGTCACACGCATTTAAAATCAGAGAAGGAATCACTCTATGGAGCACCAGGGAGTAAGTAAGCATGAGAATGAACAATATTTAAGACAGGAGCAAAAAGCAACCTAAGCATCATTTTCCTCTACTATGCATCCCTTCACTTCCACTGTGCTGCCCTACAATGCTAAGCGGAGGACAGCCCAGTGGACTTCGGTGCCCAGGGCAGGGTGGAGGGGCTATGCAGATAGACTCCCTCTAAAGTCTGGAAAAGCTAAAAACCAAGAGGATGGAATCTAAACAATGCTGACGTTCAAATTTCCGCAAGGACAGAAAGGCCTATGTCTACTAAGGCTTATGAATGTTGACTTGACTTTTTTATTCCTTACTGAACAAGGCAAAATTGGAGTGCAAACGTCTCATTTA